GTGGTTTTCTCTCAACTCTAAATAATGTCACTGCTGAGAGGGAAAAAAATAAGAATAGGAATGTACAGCTGTCACTTAAAGTGGCAAGGTCCCAGGAGCCAGAAATTTCTCATATTCAGTGAACCAAATTGACTGAAGTTGCCCAATTTAAGTCAAACTACATCAGTGCTAGGACTACATTCCCTTTAGCCCTCATACTTCATTCTTGTTCCCTCCCTTTTATTGGTAACTTATAGTGATACAGCTTTGGGTACTGAATTGTGTCCACGTTAGTCCTACCGGAAGTGTCCTGGAGCAGGAGGATGTTTGAAGGTTCCGTTGGCTCACAGGGGCATGAGAGAAACTCTGAGTGTGGGGCCTAAGTTTGGCATACCCAGCCAGACGTTCAAATCCCCACAAAGCTTTAGGACTGGCTCCATCACAGCAAAACCAGGGAGGTTGTGGATAACAGATTAAGAGCCAGCTCTAGTCTGCTCTCATGAGAAAAGTCTCTTCCATGAGTTTCTCCATCAGCTGTGTATTTTTCCCTATAACAAGGGAAGACATTCCCCATGTAGGCAGCTCAGGAAGCCCCTTTCCCACCCCCAGAAGTCCAAGTCTGTTGAGATGCAAAAAGGACACTAGGCACTCCGTGATGCTTAGCCAAATTGTTTCATTCCTGTTTCATGGTTTACAAGTACAAATGTCTTGGGCTTTGAAAAACTCTCTGTATGATTAAATAGTCCCATGCACAACTTGTTTGTTCTTCACATAAAATGCACTGCTAAGAAGGGGACACAATTCAAAATAAATTGTAAATGAGAAGGAAAAAAAGCAAACACACAAACACACGGAACATCGGATTTTATACCCTTTACTAATCTCCCTGACAGAATCAAAGAAATATCACTGTGATCACTGCAGTAGTCCAAGCATGGGGACAAACACAGAAGGGTGATTGAAATCCTTGTCCTGAACTCTTTCGAGTACTCAGGCCTACATTTTAGAAGGGGAAGGATATCAAGGAATGAAAAAGGTGTGAGGTAAATATTGGCAAAATGGTAAAAAAATGGGGAAGTGCAAAAGCTCAAGGCAGAAAAAAGGAATTATGGAAGGATGCTAAAGTGCCAAGATGTAGACATACTCCAGCTCAGAAACAGACATGTCAGAGACAGATTTAACACATTATTTTATTACAGTTAAATGTTATGAGAATCAACAAGGCCTTCTAAAACTGTTTTGAATTAATGGGTATCACATAAAAAATGGAGGTTTTTCAACGTGAAGTTCACCCACAAGATACCAAATCATTATACTGGGGAAAATTTGGTGAGGGATTTCATCTCTTCTCTTAATACAAATCATTTGGATTTAGTTTATGGGATCCATCACTCTGTGAGTACCTCTGAGATCCCAGTGTCACACGGGGGAGATAACCAGCTCAGGATCTCTAATGAAAGGGGACACTCAGGCTACTCAAGGGTACTCAAGAGAGAGAAGCCTGTTGCGCTGACATGGGTTCATGATGGGATTAATGCTGACCCCAAACACAAAGCTTGGAAACTAAACGTTTCACCTGAGAAATGCCAAACCAGAATGTTCTGATACTTTCAGGGGGAGAACTTTTTAGTTTTCCACAAAACACTTTTGTGTCTGGATGAAAGCAAGTAGCAAGACATCAGAATTTTTAACACACAAGAATCCCCTCTTTGAGAGTTTACCCAGAAGAACTGTGGCCAAGTCATGCTTGGTTTCAGGAATAAACTGCTTCTCCTCCTTTCCCTCCCTCCTCTTCCCTCAAAACTACAACAACTTTGACTGCCATCAGGACAGGAAGAATTTTATATTAAACGATTTCCCTCAGCCATTCAGCTGAATTAAGTCAAAGGGACTGCTGGCAGGCTTAAAGAGCTTTGCTGGCTTTGTTGCCGCAGTGGAAAAAAAGGAAGTTAGAGATGCATCAATCTGGAATTGAATATATCATCAGTATCTTCAAGACACAAAATATAATTACAATTATTAATTAATTTTGGTCTATGTTGCTTAACTGAGAGCAAAGTGAGAGATAGTAGCTCTTTTCCCTTTCCTGTTGCTTTTTATTCATGTGAAAACAGATTCAGTAATCACAAGAAAAATACAAGACTTTATGCTGCATGAAGAGGTGTATCATAGTAAGGGCACTCAAAAATATTTACAGCACAGCCTTGAGTGGACTGACACAGCAAGGATGACACAGAAGTACGGCAAGAATTCCTTGATAAGTGTTCTACTTCATGATATCACTTCAGCAATTTGGAGTACTTTGTTTTTGTGACAAGCCTTCCTGCACTATGTCAATAATAATTTTCCTCCCTTTAGGACTGTGTGTCTAAGCAGCAGGAAGCATTTCTTCCTGCCAGCTTCCATAAGGAAAGGAAGACACCTTCCTCAGCAGTGGAAATCTGCTATGCCTACTTTTGTAATGCACTCACATACTTCTCATCGGCCTACAACCCATGTTCTAGTTTAAAGGAAGGATGCCCACAATGGCTCTTCCAGGCCTGCTCTTCCTAGCTGGAGTCATCTCTAGGGTAATATGTCATTTGGTTAATGATGGTGTGAGGATGAATCCATTCAGAAGGTCATCAAAAACAGCCCCTCTAAAATTTGTATCAAGAGAGCCTGGAGAATTGCAAAGAGCATGCTACACAGACGTCAGCTGTATTTTCAGATGTAGATGAAGTTTCTGACACTACACACACCTCTGAAAGAGTTTGTATCTACTGCAGAGGAGGAGATCCTACACAAATTCAGGAAGGTGTTGTAACAGAGAGAGCAGACAAAGGTACACTGTCCTTTTAGATAAGCCACATACTTCAGTGGCAACATGCTAGGTTTCCTCTCTTCCCTGATGATTTTGTTTTCTTTTTCTCACTTACTTTCCCTTCTGATGTTCTCCAAAGCAACCAAGCAGGTTGTGAACATACCCATACATACATCCAGTGTTAGGGGAGTCAACTGAGGCATCAGAAATAGCGTAGGCACACGAATATAACAGCACTTGTGAAGACCATGGTTAAAAAAGCACAGCCAGTGCAACAGAACCTGACTGTTGCTTGACAAGTGTCCTAGTTAGAACAGCTGGGACCAGTTCATCACTGTATGGGTGTAACCCAAAACTGTGTATTCTATAGCCTTCCATGCCGTTTCCCAGAAACCATTTACACCATCTGCCCAGAGCAGGCCCCTGACTCCTCAGGCTATAAATTGGGTGTTAAGAGGCCTGTGAGATAAGAAGATGCTCCTGTCCTCACACCCACTGTGGAACTCCCCGCCCTGAGGGAGGTACTGGGCATTCCTGCCTGAACCGGAGGATATATGTAATCTTGGGGTCTTGGGAAGACTGCAATCACCACTCTCGACCAGACTGCAACAGCACTCTCACCGACAGATTTTCCCCTCTCCTTTTACTTTGGACTCAGGGGGGCCCAACGAACACCACTCTGTTCATGCCCCAGGGTGCTGGGTTATACATTTGGGTTTTGTGGGTTAAAACCAATTGTTCATCTCTGTAATCGTACTTATTGTATTATTTTATTAAATTGTTATTCTGACTAATAACCTTTCTTCTGAGTTGGGTTCATTTCCCCTGCTCGTTTACCTTTAAACCAGCACAACAAGCAAATTCAGGAAAGCAGAATGAAAACCAGCAGAAACCAAGGTATCATTTTTGCACCACAGCCGAGAGAGAACAAAGAACTTTGAACTGGCAAATCCAAAGTCATTTGGAGGAGCCCAACAGTGTTTCAGCCTCATGGAAAGAGAAGCTGACTCTTCCAGGACAAATGCCACAAGAATTATATGTAAAGAGTTCCTGATTATCCTGATGTATTTTAATAAGCATTATATGCAAAATCATATTTTCATAGCTCAAAATATCTCTCAGCCTAATTATGAATGAATGAATGAAAATAGTGGATATTACCCACCCTTTTAGAGCTCAAGCCTGTGAGCCACTAGGCAGTTTGAAACATGCTTGAACTCCTGCCAGGGATGGAGCCTGTTACAGACATGCAAGTGAAGACCTCATAGAAGTTGTGGGCTTGATACAGAATTTACTTGCGAAATTCTCTGGCCTATAATAAGCAAGAGATCAGAACAGACAACAAAATCACTTCTGACTGGGAAATCTGGCAGCCACTGATCCACGTGTTCCTAGTGGTACCTGAGTGAGCCTGTAACCACTGCACACAAAGTATTCCATCACCTGGAAGTTCCAAAACACACCCTGAGATACCGTGAAAATAATAATGCAGAAATACAAGTTGCAATTTCACTATTTCATCAGCCTAACAAACAGCAGCAGACTAAGCCATTAGCAATTATTTAAAGGTCAAAACAAGTAATCTCAAATAAATATCCTCTGCTCTCACTGTTATCATGACTTGGAAATAGCTAGGTTACTCTGTGGAGTTAAGACACTATTTGGTATATGCCCTGCATTCACCACCAGCAGACTATGGCCAAAGTGAGTGCAACACAGGGTTAAATCTAAGTTTAAAGAAACTGTTTGCATTTAAAGTTAAACTCCTCTGACATGTGCGAGTACAATAACAGAGCAGTTTCAAAATCCCTTTTATTTGCAAAAAGCCATATGATCCCTGGCAATTAAAAGGTGGGAGGAAAAAAAGGCAAAAGGATATGGAATCCTAAGGCTGAATCCTAAAAATGGCTACGATTTGTATAACCTCTCTAACAGAAAGAAACTGTCTTTTCTCCCCCTGTTCCAAAGTCCTGAAGGTAATTATGACTCAAAGAGCCTTCAACTATGTCACTTCAGGCTGGACATTATTACTCTTTACATGCTTTTTTTTTTAATGAAAGAGTTAAAATTAAACCTCAGTTATACTACTGGAAAATGACAATGATGATAATAATAACAACAAGAATAAGAATAAAAAAGAAGCAGCAGTTTATTCCTAAAGAGAAAGCACAAGCACCCCCATAGCCAGGCATTTCCATTTGCATCTGTTCCATTGCACTTCCTCCACACGGACCTTCTGCTGTCCTTCCAAAACACAAACGAAACAGCCAAACAAACAAGGAACCACGAGCAGAAGCCGCCAAACCCCGAGCGACCCACATACCGTGCCTTCGGTTCAGCTGCTGTCACAGGACCCTACTGCCATCAACGCCTCCTCCTTCCTCCTCTTTCTCCTCCTCCTCTTCCCCTGGCAGTACCCACGGAGCAGAAGCGACACAAAGGAGCCGTCGGGTAGCGACAGCTCTCTGTAAGTCCTGGTGATAATGGGAACACTGCCCGAATCAAGTCTAGATTCAAAAAAAAAGGCAAACCAAACCAAAACTACAAAAAAATCCACCAACAAAATAAACATGCCCCCCCCCCCGAAAAATAAAAGAATTCAATTTTTTCTTGTCACAAAGTAGTTAAAACCTTAAAATAGCTGCTTCTTGATAGTCTGAGAGAAAAAGCTTTTCTGGGGGCCTGCTGTACCTCTGCCCCTGTGGAGCTCATGTTGATGCCAATGAAAATGTCCAAGTTGCTGAGACTCAGTTAAAGCTGGATCTAAAATGACAGCTCCGAGTTCCATAGATAGCAAGGAATAACCTACAGGAATCCTGAAGGCAAAATATTCTTCTTTGCTCCATTTCCCTGCCTTTCTCACTCAGCCTTGCTTGCTTTGTTCAGAAATAAAGGAATGTTGCAGGGCCGAGAGAGCATTTCGTAAGACTGCTGTGTTCCCTTGATACAAGTGCACATTAAAGCACCAAGACATACTGAAATTTTACTAGAAGCCAAATCACAAGGAAAGAAGAAGTCACTTACTTTCTCATTAGTAGAACAAAAAACCCCCACCTATATTTGCACCCTCAGCGACACAGGTGCTCTCCCAGGTGGAAATGGAAACAGCACACAGGTGCCACCTGTGTGTTAAAATGAAAGGGGAGAGCCCAGCCTGGTTGTTTGAGTCACTCAGTATAGCTTAGCAGGAAGCACATGAGGTAAACTGAGCAGAAATGTGGATGTTCACTGGAGTGGGAATATTAAAGAAGTCACCTGCATCCCAGCCTTGCCAACAGACCTTAGTGACAGCTCCTGGCACCTTGGAGACCTTTTTGCAATGGATGTATCGCCTCCTAGAGTAGAAGCTTAAATCTGCATCTAGAACTATACACACATCAAACCTGTGTGCCTAAATGAGATTTCTGACCACCTCTTTTTTTTTTTTGTCTTTAAGAATTTGAATCTTGCAGTGATGCTTTTAAAGCACTTGTCTTCAACTCAACATTCTGTTTTGTGAGATACAAAATTAATGATCCTGGTTAGCAGTGGATTGATGTCCTCTATTCCACAAACTTTCTTTCACAGCAGCAACGACAGCAAAGGCATATTCATTGTGATATGCCTTCTGCATGAGAGATGTTAAATGTCACAGTCAGCACAGAGCTACCCTTCTGCTGTTTGCTTGGGAGCTGCCACCTGGCCAAAATGCCTGGGGGCTTGATTCAGAATGGTTTTCTGCACTGGGGACATGGATGGAGAGACTTCTGTCACCTTCCTGGAAGCAGATCTTCAGGGAACATTCAGGGAATGTCATAACTGGCAAAAAAATCCAAACCCCAAAACTCAAACAAAAAACAAACAAACAAAAAAACCCAAAGCACCCCCCCCCCAAAAAGAAAAGGAAAAAAAAAAGGAAAGAAAAAGTCACTCCCTCCCAAAACAAAAAACCCACCAAAAAACCCCCAAACAAACAAACAAAAAAAAATCACCAAAGAGCAAACTCACAAGAAAAAACCCAGTAATTTATGTCAAAAGTTGTCCTTTTGTCTCAGGAAAACTGAGCGGTTGTAGTTGTGTCTCATTGCAGTTAGATTTGTGTATGATTGGGAGGGATTTAGTTTATATTCTGTGCATAGAGTTGTAACCAACCATATACGCTCCAGAAGGCAGCACTGAGGAAAAATGAGGAAGGTCTGGAGTGCCCTCAGTCCCTGCAGTTCATTCCATGGACAAGACAGACTCCTGAGAGTATTTGTCCTCTGGAGGAACTCATTTTACCCTTTGGATATCCTGGTCATGTGTCAGTTATCATTGGAAGATGCAGACCAAGAACTAGAGTTTCATCTGAAATGCTGCAAGAGGTGAGGATAGAGGACAGAGGTTTTATTGTTCTTACCACGGTTTTGTTTTGGTTTTTTTGTTGAAGCAGCACAAATCAGTATTCAGTTGGAGTTCCCTAACTTGAAACTTTTTTATTCAGATGTATCTCACTGCTCCAGTCTTGCCTTGCAAGGACTCAGGTTTGGGTATATAAGGTAAAACAGCTTCACAAGAATGGGATGGAACTTCTTGCCAGCAGGACACAATAGAAAAAAAAAAAGATATGTTATTGGTAGAGTACAAGGCAAAGCTGTCTGGAAAGTGAGAAAGAGAAGAAAAACTGAGATATGATCTTGTAAACACTTGCACATGGGGCTTTGTTTACTTCCGCGTGTAGCTAATCCAGATGGCCATGTGATTAAAGCTGCATCTGAGATTATGTATCACAAGCCAGTTTGGACAGGAAGACACTGTGCTAGGAGTTCTATGCTTGAAAAAATGAGACGATCTCTTCTGTATACTGTTTATGATTTAAAGACACAAATAATGAGTCAGAGAAGTAGAACATATAAGCAACTAAGTCTGGTGGGTATTTGCTGTTAATAGTTACTGGCAGAAGACAGGACATTGTGTATGTGCCTTTTAATTGGCCAGAAATAGGAAATAAATTCATCTTGCATTCAAGCTGGTTTTACATTACAGGGATAGTGCATTATGGACTTTTTCACTCCTGCCAATGCTCACTGTCAAAAGAGTAAATTGCCAGTTTTCACAAAGTTGCATAGTGCTCTGTAAATATATATTCAGCAGGGGCATATGCCTTCTCATTTTAACATATGTGTTATACTTTAACACATTTGATTAGAGAGATACACGTGCTGGGAGACTGCTGCATTTATTATATGCAAAAAGAAGGAAAAAACCACTCAATTTGCATATGATGCATCCTTTCTTGTTTTTTGGAAAATGAAGGTGGCAGACCACTAAGTCACACAGTCTCCCCATGTGTCAAAAGAAATGGAAAGTAATTAACTATTTGATGTTAAGTTCTAGACCCACTAAGGTTACTAAATTACTTTATTTATGGGGTCACAAATTCACATTACTACTTTTAGGATTGATAATGGCAGGGAAACAGAAGATGATACTGAAAGGCTTCTCTGTGTGATCTGCTGCTTAGAAGATGTGAACTCTTAGTGTTCTTATGTGAAGGTAGTAATTGAACGCCTTATTCCACTGGCAGGGCTGATGGCTTTGGAAGAGAGGGTGGCCTCCTGGAATTTTTACTTCAGTGTTTTGTATTGTTTGAGAAAATAAAAGAGAAGGGAATAATATCTCCACCAACCCTGACACAACTTAATTTTGCAATGAGAAACCTGCGGTGGCACCTACGGTACAAAATGGACTGTCACACCTTTTCTCCTCACCTTGTCCTTCAACAGTTGTCCTGTAAACAATTTATAGCATGGCTCCTTCTCTGAACTATGCCATCAATGCTCCTTACTGATATGTCTTCACCTCCTATCCCTGTGTCCAAAGTGATGAGAAGAGGGCATTTTACCACCTTCACCCTCGAGTCCAGGCCTGTTCCTTACACATGGGTTTACTTTTGCTACTTGTGTTGACAAGGAAAATAAGACTGAGGAATGCACAATGCAGGTTTTTTTTGACTGCACACCAGAAGAAGGGTTGGAAGAAGCAGCCACCCCTTCTCTGTATGTTATATGCTATTAGCACCCACAGCCACAACTAATGGAAAACTTTCATTTCACTGTTAAAGGCCACACCATAGACAAAAGGTATGATGGCAATCATAATACAAAATAAAGGGGGAAGAATATCTGGCACTGACTACAGAAGAAAATCTCCACAGTCTAAGAGAATAAGGAACAAGGGATTCATCATCTTCTAAAATGATTAAGAAGTTTGCTTTTAGCTTCTATTTTTTTCTTACCACATCAGACCTTATTAAAAATAAAACAAAGGCAAATTCACATGACCTCTGTCCTCCATATCTTTGAGATAAAGCTGCTGTATTTTTGAAGAGCACTTGAGCTATGGTTGACAAGTGCTCTATGTAGTTCTCTTACTACAAAACCTCAGTAAGGAAAAACCTAGGCCCTCTGAAACCATCTCACATTACAGAAGAAAAGCAAGTGGTGCTTGCTTACAGAGGTCATTTGGACCTATTAAACAGTAACTTGTGGTACAGTTAGAAGTTTGGCTGTAGCATTAAGAACTGCAGAAAGTATAGATATTTTTGTCTCTAGAGCCTTGCTAATGGTGATGAAAAGCACCATGGATGGATGATTTGGCTGAACTTACCTGAAGTTCTCTGCTATAAAAATGGCACAGGTCTCCCTCCTGGGAAATCTTGGATAGTTTCAGGTCCTGAGTGGACTCAAGCTGATGAAACTGGAAGAAAGTTTTCATTTCTTACTCCCCACTGCCCAGAAATTTTTCATCTTTCAGAATACATCAGCATCAGATTGTAAATTATCTGTCAAATGCTAAAGACACTGTAGGATGGGGCCCTAAAGGAACAGCTCATTTTCACCATAGGTGGCTTCTTATTAAACCATTCTCCAAAACTTATGTCCATAATGAATTCTACTGTGCCAGCTGGGCATTGTGTCTGTATTCTTCCATCTGTGAAGAATTTCTAAATTCCCAGTGATGAGAGAAGACTGAATATCACAATAGGAAGAACAGAAGCGTAGCATGTAGGGATTAGTTTCAATATCAGAGAATCTATTAAGCAGATCAAAAATACCAGCAACTTTCTCCAGTGCTTATTACAGACTATTTAACTTAGTTGACTTTTCCTCAATCTGTCGTTCTCCTCCTCCTGAAAATATATTTAACTTAGGCATTCTGTCTACCTCACATCCCTGCATTGCCAATGATGTCTAAAGTAAATGCAGTAATCCTTGATAAAATGGCACTTGCCACGAGATAGATCGATTTGTAGTTGTGTTGCAGACAGAACTGAAATGTGGTTGTTTTCTGACAAAGCTTCCTGTAGTAGATAAAATAAAGTGCAACATATATTCACCTCACTAGAAGAAAAATAAATTATTCAGTGTTAAAGTGTTAGTAACAGCTTTATCAAAAGTGTCGTGATTG